GGGGGGGTGCACAGAGTTGGGGGGCGTTTGAGGGGCAGGGGGTGCATAAAGTGGGGGGCGTTTGGGGGGCAGGGGGTGCGTGGGCAAGAGGGTACACGGAGAGAGGACTGCGTGGGGCAGGGGGTGCGTGGGCAAGGAGGGGCGTGGGCAGGGGGTGCCCAGGACCGGGGGCCGGGGCGTTGCGGGGTCCCAACCGCACCGTGATCCCCCCCAGCCCCCCGTGATCGCCGCCGGATCCCCGCGGGGTGAGGGATGGACACGTCGGAGCCGGGCAGCGCGGCCGAGGAGGACGAGGAGAAGGCGCCCGAGCCGCGGCCCCGGACCCGCTCGAACCCCGAGGGCGCCGAGGACCGGGCGCTGAGCGCCCAGGCCAGCGTGGGCAACCGCAGCGAGGGCGAGGGCGAGGCCGCCAGCGCCGACCACAGCCCGCAGGGCACCGCCGGCCCCGACGGCACCGCCTGGCCCGGCCCCGCCGCGCCCACCGAGGTGCAGGTGAAGACCCCCCGAGTGAACTGCCCCGAGAAGGTGGTGAGTGGCTGCCGGGGGGTGCTGGGGGAATACTGGGGGTTTAGCAGGTAAGATGCTGGGGGGATGCTGGAGAGTTGTCAGGGAGGGTGTTGGGGGGATACTGGGGAGTTATTAGAGAATTCTGGGGGATGCTGAGGATGTTGTGGGAAGTTACCGGGTAAGATGCTGGAGGGATACTGGTGATGCTGGGGGGATACTGGGGAATTAACAGGGAGGATGCTGGGGATCCCCCCAGCATTCCACTGAGGAATTATCAGGGCAGATGCTGAAGAGATGCATGAGGTGGGTACAGGAGGGCTGAGCAGGGATCAGCCCTGACCCCGGGGTGAGGGGCTGGGGGGGGCTCACTTGTGTCTCCCTCTCCCGCAGATCATCTGCCTGGACCTGGCCGAGGAGATGGCAGTGCCCAAACTGGAGTCCTTCAACGGGTGAGTGCTGGGGGCTGCTCGGGGGGGGCCGGGGGGGGCTGCTGGGACCCGCTGAGCCCCTCTTTCCCTCGTGGCAGGTCCAAGACCAACGCGCTGAACATCTCCCAGAAGATGAT